TGTTTAAACTTGTCATAGCTGGTCTTTAAAGTTATATAAATAGGTTACTGGTTAGTTGCATTGGTCTTACATAATTGGGATTAAGAACTTATGGTAAATGGTGCCCTATACAGCTTTGTGAAACATGAACTCTGTTTTTGATTGATGAATTGCATAATTGTATGCTTCTCTAGATGCATTTGTTTGTAAGAATAGATGATATCAATAAGATAAAATCATTTGATGATCATAAAATCAATTAAATGCATAATAATATTTGTGAAAATATCAGTAAATGAAATTGAATAGCTTCAATGATTCATTTAAAAATCTGGTTTTAGCGGTTTCACAGAAATAATTAAAACCATGATTATCAAATGTAAATAAAGTCATCAATAAATTATCAGTAAATCGTTGTTCAGTCAGTATAGAATATATGGAATGTGGCTAGCAATGGGATCCGTGACGCCAATTTCGTTTTACATGGGACTCCTAATCATGATATACAATATTGTTTATTTTATTCATATCATAATTCAGTGATCATGAAGTCTTAGATTATGATCAAAAACATGTGGATCATTCTGATTATCGTAGAATTGCGTGTTGAAAGAAATAAGATAATCTTGTAAGAATACATATTGACTGACAACTTTTAAACCGTCAGTGCATATATTTATATATTGCTGATATTATTCAAAAGAAGCAGGAACCATACCCAATTATAATATTTAACACTTAACTACACGTCGTTGTTGTTAATGGTAATCGTACTTGATATAAAAATGGATGCTATAAATAACAACTTTTAAAAAGTAATCAACTCCCCTCCCATCTGCTTTGCTCTGATAATCTGGACTTGTTCATACACCTGATGTTTTATATACCAGATTATGGAGTATCATTTTAGCGACGATTCATATAAGCCACTAAAGAATTAGTTTTAACACAAAGAACCAATGAAATTTTAATGGTGAATAGTGAGTTATTAAAATGCTTTAAAAGGACAATTCCGACTGACTATGAAGAAAATAGATTCTGTCCATTCAATTAATTATACCCACACGATCTTCCAGAGAACGTAATATTTATGTAAAATGAAGAGTAGTATAACAATATGCAGATAAAAGTTTCTTACGGCTGGTTAAACATTTATTTTTGAAGACTTAATAACCATTGTATTGTAGTCAAATAAATTATACGGATACTTCACGACACAGTTTATTTGAAAAAAGCTAACCCTACGTTTATTTTTAATTATCATTCGTTATTGAAACATCTAAGTGATTAGTATTAAAATCAAACTCTGTAAAGTAAATAATCAAGATTAGGTTTTGGAAAGTCGTTTCAAGCCGTTTAGTTCATTTACATACAGCACTATATCTCCAGTATCATAGCCTAGATAGGTAATTATTTACCACATAGCAGATTATACCAACAGATTACTAACATTCATTCCTATCTAATTCTGAATTCATTAAGGATTACGGTATACTAAGTGAGTCACTTAATGAAGTCATTTAAAGTTAACATAGTAGCTGTCCGACTAAATGGCTTCACTATTTTCAAGTTTTTTGATGTGCTCTTTCGGGATAATTATAATATTTTACAAAAGAATGAGAATACCAACACAGGTTAGATAGATTTTTCATTTATAAAATCACAGATTAGTATATGAAATACCAATCAGTCAGTCATATAAAACGTAGGACCTGGAACATATATGCATCAGTTCAAATTGTCACAATACATTAGTACAATGAGATGGAATCATCAAGCCAAATCCAAAAGCATATATATGGGTTATTAAAAGAGGATAAGAGTATATGAATTCGGGACTTTGGATCTAATGAAAGACACAAAGCTAATACAGCTGCTGTAGTGAGATAGATTTCGAAAGATATCACCCAACATCTAAAATTATCGGTTATGACAATCACGAGAACTAATCCCAAGAAGTTTGCATATACCTACATTTCTTAGTTCAATAGCTAATAGACTCATGAACTGATGCTTTTTTATGATTAAGCAACCTCTAACTTCGTCCAGCCTACTCCTATACCGGAAGTCACTAGTGGTTGGGCACTCGTAATCAGCATCTCAACCAACTCAGTAGGTGACGATTCATTACCTCATTATTCATTTACACTTTATTCGACAGATTTTTAATTCCAGAATTCTAGAACTTATATTGTTTAAACCTTAAGAGATAGACTGGATTTTTTTATACGCTTCTACTTTATTCATACGTTTTCACACAAAATCCTTCATTCCAAGAAACCTCCCATGAGTATCATTTCTGTTTCAACTGATTATTTTAATTAGCATGGGAAAAGTTCAGCAAAACATATTACATTACAGACAGGAATTAAAAAATTCCTTACAAATGACCTGAAATAATTGACTTTTACTACATGACACGGTTCTTTTACAAAATTCGTGGAGACGGTACTCTCGTTTTCAGTTTTAAATATTTTATTATATGATGGATCGTTGATTCTTTCCACGATACTACCCTCTAAGATAACGTAGAACTCATTTTTCTTGACGTTCAGAAACCTGTTATTTGATTTGGGCTAGAAAGTTTGTAGAACGGCTATAGTGATTTGACGAATCCTAAATATGAAGTTAAACAACTACTTTTCTGACTCCTCATTTTCGACTATTTTAGAAAAGCGTCGACGATAATAAGCACTTTTAGTCAATAGTCTTCAAAGCCAATATGGATTTTGGTAACATCGCCTCATTAATAAAACATGACAGGTATCTCTAACATATCAGCACACCGAACTATTTCAATAAATACGTCTATATTCGACCAATATAAATTCTAAATGACATATTGATGCACTAGCCTACCAACTCGCTATAACGGAATAGGGCCGTTGATTATTCATAAAGAACATCTTTTCCACTTTGAATATCTTGCATGTTCCCATGTTATACAAATACAGTTAAAATTCACGAACTAGAAGCCATACTCTCATATCTTCGGAAAGTTGAGTAGCTTAGCAATATGCGGTTCAATCTAACACGATACTTTTTAATAAAATGTTTAATTCTATAGCAAATAACCCGCAAATAATATGGAAAACTGTAAATCACTGAAATGTTTTGTACATTATTTATTCTATTAAAAAAAACACGTACCGTAGAAAGACATCAATTATTTTTGTACACATTTCTATTGAATGAAACGTTCTTTTTGCATGTTTAACGAAATGTAGTTCACCGCTACATCCTTCACTAGTAATTTAGTGTAATGAACATTGTTTAGTCGTCGTAACAGTTCTTCCTCAGACAATTAAAAAGTATCAATGATTTAACTGAAATATAGATTCACTTTTGAATAATCAACTTTAGAAGTTAACTTAAAGCAGCTAAAATTAGGCTAAAGATTGAGACCATTGATATTTGGATGATCAAGTTTGCGTCTATGATGAACTTTAAAAATAAATTCCTGATGCTTTCTATTCACATTTGAATCTCATATAAATAAAAATCACCTTCTAGTTACTTTTCAAAAGTGAAATATCTAATCAAATTTATTTTGTACCGAAGAGGCGTAAAACTGTCGAGACGCGTACACTGACTAGTCCGTGTATTCATTCTGAATAAGTTCCTTATTTGAAACTGTTCAACCTTCTGGAAAGAATTTCAAAGAAAAATATGCTTGTATCATTTTCTCCATAAGTGAATCTAATTGCTGAATGAACGATACTGACACTTCAATGACTCTTGTTTATTCATACTATTGTTCCACATGGTTAGAGTGTAATCTAGGAGGTTTCGAAAAAATGTAAGTTCAACCTTCTAGGCTGTAATACTGGTTAAATGAACAATGAAAATGAAATTCAATGTTAAAGCGTTTAGTTTTCTGTTGACAAGGCAGCGGAAAGCTAACCACTGACTCCTCAGTAATACAGAGGTAAGGTCTAAGCCTTATATTCAGCGTATTTTAATAAGACAGAGTTAGGTTCTTTATCGGTTATCCTTAGTTTTTTCTTACTTTAACTTCGTGTCCATGACTAGTAAGTGACGTACTATAAGATTATGAAAACCACTTTACTCTCAACAGCATAATTTCTTGAGAATATCTTCCGAACTGCTAGTTGTATCAACTGGGTCTGTTCGACAGTCATCTTCATTCACCACCACACCAAGCAGTTTAACTGATTTCATAAAATAGTATTGATTATCTTACCGCATAGGGGAATCAGGTTAAAACGTTAAATCTCATATTGAATCGGCAAAACTTAAAACGTTTTTGGTTGCACGTCAACTAAACAAACAAAATGTTTTTCGAAGAATGTAACGCAATTTACTACACTATAGTATGATTGATTCCAATAGCTAAATGAGAACAGAATTTGTGATTAATAAATAGGATTTTATATAAAAGGATAAACTCTTGTAGCTGATTATGACCAAGTGGTTTTTGATAAATTTCGCCTGTAAATAAACAAGAGCTATGTATATATTCTGAAAGTTGCGTTACAAAATTTATAAAAGTTAATTCATTTTCTAGAACGGGCAGTGGATCTGTGTATTCTTCCGACTCAGCAATCTTTTAACAAAGTGCGGATGATCAATTAACAGTAAAATATCCCTTTTTGTAAACGCTTCACACTTTAATTAACTCAAGACTAACCAATATGTCCAACTGACTAAACTCAGAGTACATACTGAAAAATAGAATTTACACATCTAGAATGCTCAATAAAATAAATGGATCATGTTGTTAACATGAATGTTTTTTTACATTGTTGATATATTCCTGTGTTTACGCAGGCGTTTGCATGAAGAATCCTTTGCAGTAATACCGGACTATTTTTAGCTGGTTATCGATCACAACACAAACTTCTCAAGGATATTTTTAGTCAGCACTTATATTTGAGGTATATACCTGACCAATTCAATTTTCATAATTGGAAAAATGAATATTTACTAAATCGTATTTTGACATACGGAAATAAAATATGACTATTTCAATCTGAAAACCTTGTGCAAATCTTCGTTAGGGGAGATAAATCACACTTAGTATGAGATTCTGAATGATGCTACTCTGTTGCTTATACAGAATATGCTCCACCTAGTAATCCAGTGCGTAAGTTCTCAAAGCGGTGAGTTACAAACAAACCACGAAAAACTAACAATAATTTTCACTTTAAAAACCAGTTTAGGAGCAAACGTATTCACTGAAGACAACAAATCCTCGATGCATAAAGGAAAGAACATCCAGTTAATGGCACTACTTGAAGGTTTCGGGGGAATTTTGTGTGAATTTTCGACGTCAGACTACTGAAATTTCATACAGTAGTGTACTTAGTACTACCTAAAATCGAGTATCAACATCGCATTTGGGAAACATACTACATTCGCAAAGTGATTGTTAGAGCAAGCGGATAAAACCGCAGCAAAAAAGAATAAATGAGGCGCCTGAAAACGCCTATATTGAAGAAAACATAGCACCAAGAACTCAGTACCGTATTGGAATACAAACGTTACTGGCTTCCTTATATTCAATACTGCAAATGCACAAAATACTCTCATATCATACGGCTTTAGAGAATATATAGATTAGAATGATCGCTCATTGGCAATTGGATGATCAGTTTGTCCCTCCCTATAAAATAATAAGTCAGTGTTTGGGATTATTCATCGTAATCGTTAGCCAGCCAACTCTTGTGAAGATCTATAAATTGCGTCTAATATTACATCTCAACATCTACGCAGCTTTCTTTATGTGAGAATGAAGATATCACTAGGCTACACTGAGACTTTATGATCACTTCCCTGACTAGGTTGTAGAATATCAAACTGCAAAAAGATACTAAAGAGCTTAATATTACCTCAGCATTCTTGTCAAACCGCATACATAATGTCAACAGTATATCCAAACTTGGAATAATCATGCGCTTCTTAGAATTATGATAAGGAATGAAATTTGGGGTTTTCATCACGAACTGACATCGACTATAATGCCAAAACGCTATTTAACCATATGCATGTGTGAGTTATGCACCAAAACTCAAGACTCGTTATCTTATGTCTGATTGGTTCGTCAATAAATTATAGTCTCGTCGAAACATCTCAATAGCCTTAATACAACGAAATTTAACAATATCCACAACCCAATATTGAAAATCATCATGTGCTCACTAGTGACTAATATAGAGAGGAAATCTCCGAATTAATAGAGAGAAGCCGTGACCGGTGGAGCCAAACCGTGTCAGATGTGAAGCAGTTACCCACTGAAGACATTGGGAGATGGTCGCGCAGTATCCTGGACTGATTAAAGTTAGATAATAACACCGTTGTTTATCAGCTTAGTTGTCTACAGGTAAACCGTTCGCGCGCGAGATCAGACTTCCTTTGTCCGATTCCTACGAGCGGGATCGTGGATGCACACTACTGAATTATTCTATGCTTCCGTGTCTTCAGTTGTGGTCTAACTTAGATCGGTTCATGATTTCAATGAAATTCAACAATCTCTATACCGACATACTCGTAATAAAAGTTTGTTTGCGGACTAGTGATACCATAAGGTCGGTGTTTATCGAAGTTAAAGATGTCACCAAAGTAAGAACAATAAGATCTTGTACATGAGATCAATTTTCATGAATGCGATGTAGCATATGAGGGAGAAACATATAGGCAACGGAGCATACAGTTTAAAAAACACGGACAATATTCGAAACATGTTCTCCGATGTCCAGTTGACCTCGATAAGCTTGAGAATAGATCAGCAATAGAAATTCATCCATTAGCAACAGGACACAAAATCAACTTTAAAGTAGTCAAAATACTACAGGAAGGGTTTGACATACAGAAAGAAGAATAACTGCAGAATCACTGTAAATGTAGACTAATCAAAACAGCCTAAATATATAAGATGTAATTCAATTAGTTACCGATTGTCAAATGCTAATTAACGAATAACCGAACTTGATTATTATCTACTCAATTTATATTATTAGTAATTTGTTTTAAACAAAGAAAATATTTTTAAATGTTAAACATTACAACTACTCAATTAAATTTTCTCATTCTACATAAACTTTAATGATTTAAATTTTTCATTTGTACTGTTAATTTATAATAAACAAAAACAATTAACATGACTATGATGGTAGGTAGAGATTTTATTTATTCACAACATAAAGGCACATACGCAAGTACATCCATTCTGTTTCACATATTTCATATCTTATGAGATGATTGGATAAACTTTTCATCTTGAAAACTTCATTTAGTCCTTGATAATTTCGATTTTTTTATTACTTAGTTCTTAGTTCAAACAAGCTTTCTGGACGATCAGTTGGAATAATTTAAATTTCAATGGCTGTGATAAATTAAAATATAATTTACATAAATAATACCTTGTCTATGCTTGACACTCAAATTATATCAAACTATTCGTTCAAATATTGACCAATATTTGTATAAATTATCTGTCCTAGTTTCGATTTCTAGATTTTCTTAATCTGAGTTTTGTGTTATTAATGATTGTTGCCTATGGTTTTCTTATTAGACGTAAATACATTTTATGCGCTCAAAGGATCGTCAGCATACCTTTTCTTCTATTTTCCCTGTACCAACTCTCCTCAGTTACGTTACTCTGCATGATCTATTACGACATAAACTGCATTCTGTCTAGACATGGACCATAACACTAGGCGTTCAAATATTGACAAATATTCATCTAGATATATGTGACAGTTATATTAATCGAAAGTCTCGTATGATAATAATGGATACACTTACTCAAAAAAATTACGTAACGTGGTTAATTTTAACAAAAATAATGTTGAATAACGAAACTACGCTTTTTTCGAAGTAAAATAACATTACAAAAGACGAAATGTTATATAGATTCATCTATGAGGCTTTCATTGATAGTTTTTCATTCAACCGAGAGAACAACTGACTCCCTCCAAGGTACAATAAACCTATGAATAGAAAAACACCACATTATTATTTTTATTTTTATTTTCGACTGAAGTACAATAAGGGGAATGAATATACAACGATTCGATAAATCACTTTCTGATTGAACAATCGACTATAGTATCTACTGAATGTAGTACATACTTAACTAGACTTCTATGTGGAGTGAATTGGAATCTTTGATGTAATATGAATTACCTCTAGCCAACAGAAGTGCTTTGCTGATGAGCTTCAATAAGTACAAGACACTAATTCAGAAGGGAAACATTTAATATGTTTAAGACAACACACGATAAATCTCAACCGATTCTTTTTCTTAGCTGTTATCCTACATAGACTAGCATAAGTTTTAAATATTTTACTATTCATTTATCCATAACATCTAAAATCTTCTGGTACTATAAGATGACAATATGAATGTGCTACATAAAAGTAGGATGAATAATATTGTGAAGGAAATAGACGAGGGAAAATCCAGACAGTCAACGAATAATATCTATTAAGAGATAAAAGTTAGAAATATAAAACCAAAGGAAATCTTATTCACTTCTACAGGTTCATTTGACTTTTTTGAAGATTGCATCACAAAAATACAGCAGGATCCCTATTGGCTTCTATTTCGAGTCATGTATAATGACGTTACTGAGTTACTAAGTTGTAAGATATTTAGAATTTGATTGTTTTAGATAGGATAGAGCAACAGCTATCAGTTCTTTATATTTTATTTTCCATATTACAACTAATTTTAAATGTATCAGTTTACTCGATAGATTTTAATCATAGAATCAAATAATTCAACTGATGAACATCAAAATTAATAACAAAACACACAGAGTATATGTAGCATTTCGATCAACAATGTGGACGTGAACTATCAGTCGACGAAGAACATAACAAATAAATATTAAATGTACAGTTAAAGTAATTAATTAAATTCAGAAGTATGAATATATTTCTTGTTACATAAGATATGATTTTTTTAAAAACAAGATATAATTTATTTTATAATTCAATATACTATTCATTTAATTATATAGTCAAGATGTAAACAGCCCTGGTGCGGTCGAGAGTGGGGAGAGTCCGCTCTCTCTCGAAATGCTCTCACATGGCCACGCGTATATAGCCTCTGCCAGGGAAGTTCTCCTCATTGAATTCTCACGGCATGGGTGTTGTCTACTAAATAGAAAAGACGAAAAGCGAATTTCCGGTGCTTTAACAGTATTGGTGGATATGGAGGACCCACCTAGAGGAGTTGGAAAACCCTGATTCCAAACCAATGGTGCACATAGGCTCCAGTATCCTGAGGGAACAAATGGCGTATGAACCAATCGTTGATCGCCGACTACCATGGGAGTGCATCTCCTTACAATGCTCCACTGAATTGTGGATCAGACCTTTAGGTAGAAAGCTCTGGGTGTGGCCTCTAAGAAAACCACCTGCTTCGGTTTGGGCACCCGGGCAGTATCAAAGCCCTCACACAAATCAAATGCGATTTGTGTGGCGCATATGTACCTGGTGCCCCGTTGGGGCAATATATATATTCAAATAAATAAAAGTAAATAAATTTAGAATACATTGCAGGAAAAGTTGCAAATTTTAAAAATCAGTCAGTCAGCTACAACGTAGGACCAGGCACATATATGCATCGGTCCAAGTTGCCATACCTCAGTAGCACAAAAAGATGAACATCAAATTCATAGAAGTAATTAATTCAATGGTGGTAATATATAAAAGAAAGATTGTATATAAGAATATAGTCAAAAAGATATGTCAAAAATAGTACAGAAAGATTATATAACAGAAGAATCGATATATGAAAGCAGAATTTTTCACTTATGATAATTGTCTACTAGATTTGCTAATGAACTAACACTTACGTTAATTCTGAATATATTATTACATATATTTATAGGTATCAATGCCAAGGTTGAATTTGATAGTTTCAAATAAATTGAGCATTAGGTAGAAAGTTAATAATGAACATATTTTTTGTTATATCCCACATTATTTTAAATAAATTTTGTGTTTCAACATTGTAAAATATTGAAAAATACACAATATTTCAGGTCTATGTGAACAGTAAGTTGAAAGTTCTAATGAAAGATATAGAAAAGGAGACAGTACTTCAGTGAAGAGACAGATTTTTTTAAGACATCATCATTGAAGCTGTATAATCGTAATTGAAAGGAATTATTTAAAGATTGTTTATCAATTACAATTGTCTCATACTTTACATTTGAATAAATCCCTCCACCCAGCCAGTAACAACGTAGAACTTCGTACGTACATACATCAGTTCGAGTTGCCACACCACATTAGCACAGAGATGCAGTTGTCGACTCAAATCCCGTAGTGGTAGAGGTAGTAACAGTATAAACAGTAATTGGAAAGATTAGGGTTTGAAGATGTTATTCAAGGAGTATAATCCAGTGAAATAAATTTGGAAAGAAAATAAGGGACATGAAGAGTCCAGAAGATTAGAATCTGGGAGAACACAAAGAGTGGATGCACCTGCGCCATTGCAAACGATTTTGAGCCATGTCATTCAGGGTCTCTAACCATCGGTTGCTATCATCTCGTGGTCCCCAACCAGGTAGTCTACACCTATCAACATGACTCAGTCCACTTGTCAGTGACTTCATGAACTTGTGCCATGTTTTGGTCTGGCCGCCTCTAGCTTTCTTCCAACCTACTCCTACACCATAAAACACCGCACGTCGAGGCAGTCGGTCGTTGGGCATACGTAACACGTGTCCCAGCCATCTCAACTGATAAAGTTTCACCACTTCACCAATCGATTTGCCATCCTTACCCAGTACCCGTTTCCTAACAACTGCATTACTTACTCGATGGTCCCAGGATATACGAGCAATAATTCGAAGACACCTATGATCAAATACTAATAACCTACGAATATCCTCTATTCTTACCGGCTATGTTTCACTGCCATAAAGTGGGATGGAACGAACTGCTGCGCAGTAAACACGTCTTTTAGTTGATAGACGGATATCTCGCCTACGCCATAAATGACGCAAGTTGGTAAAAGCTAGTCGAGCCTTCTGTATCCCTGCTGAGATTTCGTCACACACCAGACCACGAGGGCTGATGAGACTTCCAAGATAAGTGAAGCGGTCGACACGCTCAATTACTTCACTCCCTATCATTAGTTCGGGTGTCGATGCAACCTAATCCTGAAGCAACATTTTGCATTTCGATGGGGAGAATCGCATGCCGAACATGCTTGCATTGTTATCTCTCCAATACGTTTTTATAAGCTAATCATTATTTCAATGGAAAACCTGGAAGCACTGGAAGGCCGTTTCGCCCTATTGTGGGACTCTTCAGCAGTGCGCATCCACGATCCCGCCTCGCGAGATTGGAACCCAGGACTTAACGGTCTCGCACGCCAGCGCGTAAACACTAGACCACTGAGCCGGCATCCGACGGTGTTAATGTCTAACCTCAACCAATCCACGAAATTGCGCCACTGTCGCCGTTGTCTTCAGTAGGCTGCTATCTCAGAACAGATCTGGTTGAACTCCACTGGTCACAGCTTCTCACTAGGTCTCCCATACTACAACGAAACGGCCGTCCAGTGCTTCCAGGTTTTCCATGGTGGTCTAGCTTCAATTAAATCATGATTTCAACTATTGAAATTACTAAAATCTCCACTAAACCCATTCTGATAATGATCATTATTTGTTGACTATTACGTTTTATCATATGCGTAATCCGATTATTTTAAGTCTCGTATATTTCGTCTCATATTATTTCAATCGCCGTTTATTTCAGTTTAAAGGTCAAATTTTCGTAGATTTGTGGTGTTAAATAATATGTTATAAACTTTATTTTGCATGTCTCATAAAATTCTTTTGTTGATATATTGGTTCACTGATGTGTTTCACTATCTACATCCATACAAGTTGATTGTTCAGATTATCAGTATATAAAATATTGTTTTTTCTTACTGCAAACCGTCTTATTTAAATCAAATAGTTTTAATTATCGATTTTGTTGTATCATGCGTATCGAAAAAGCGCCAACTGATTGCATTGTGTCAATACATTATTATCGAAGTATTTTCTGTATTTCACACGTATCATGTTTGAATAGTTTCACCAATATTATCAAATTAACTGTGTTTTATTATACTCAGGATATGTTGTCAACTACGGATTGAACAACTAACCAGTGAAGACGTGATTAAACCAGCATAGTCAATGAATTAAACTCGAGAAAAGAATAGCTATCCATTAACCAATATTAAATATGCTCAGATCAATTTTTTCCGGGATTTCAGTTTTTACAGTAACAAACGAATAGAAATGTAGAAGGTTTTAATCTTATTAAAAACCTGGAAAAATGGAGTTGTTACTGAACTTCAACAAAAAGATGACATACAAACTAGCCAAACTAGCCAAAAAATGTAATCAGACAGAGTATGGTAATGCGAACAAAGAGAACTAAAACAAAGAGTATTGAACGAACAGTATTAAAGTGATTGATTGTTCTGAATAACTTCTTTATCAGATGCAACAGTTATCAATCCAAAAGGATTATTAATTTATTTTGTATTGTTTGTTTGAATTTTCGCATTGATATTTAGGATTGTAATTGATTAGTCTCTTATTGGCGTGTATGCATCCTGTGAGGACTGTTTCGATATTGCCTTAAGTCATAAGCATTATAAGCAAAGATGGTTGGTGGCTAGCAGTGGACTAACACTTCACTATATTACACAAGTAAGTGGCTATCAGGACACAGTAGCTAAGTGGATAACGCGATGGCGTTTGAAGTGAACGGTACTGAGTTCGAGTCCCTGAGTGAACATCAACTCCGAGATGCAGGTACATCCAGCTGACGAGTCCCAAACAGGACGAAACGCGCGTCCTGGATTCCACTGCTAGCCACCATCGATTTTTGCTTAAAATGATTATTATTGTATCATAATAGATAAGACATTAAAGTTGAATTAATCTAAGATGCTATCAATAAGTGCATTCTAAAACTCTATTCTACATGAACTCCTTATTTGAAAAAGTTAACAGTTGGGAAAAAAAGATTAGAATCTTTGGTACAAGAAATGAATTAGCAAGTTTAGAGCACATCATTCAGATTAATGTATGCCTATATCGACTAATTTAGTTGATATAAAACGATAAATGCATCCTAATAATAAACTCATTACTTGTTGTATACTAACGAATGACAGACAGGTTATGTTTAATTTTATAATGGTATAGTCAAGAGTTGCATAGCCAGGTCATCAGGACATTAATTTAGGCAACAATAAAAGTTTATTAGGGGCACAGTACTAGACGTATGCCAAAATTTCTATTCAGTTCATCTGATGGTTTATCAGTAATATATTACGCTACTAATATAAATTAACCTTTATTTACAACTGACTATGTTAGTCTTTTGTATTTACCACACGATTTTATTTCAAATATAATCATGTACCAATAATAATTAAAATTCTGTTTACATGGTAATAGTTTAATTACTCAGTCTACACAAAAAGTGATCTGACGAATTATTATTCAAATTAGTTTATACAATTGATTTTCCTACAGATTACAAACGATAATATTACGACGTTTTTATATATAATAGAAACAACCAAACGGTGACACAAAAGGTAGTTTTGACAGATGATGACATGGCATAATATAATATATGTAAAGGTTTATCAAAAGTTGAAAGAGTGTTTTCACAAAGGTTTACAGTCGAATATATAAAAGGTATTAGATGTCTAATAATATTTGTAATAATATTAGTGATTCAAAGTAGGTGGTTTCCATGTCCGACTCGGTAGCTTGGTTTCAGCTTTGGTTCAATGACAGATCCCTAAATATTATATGCAAATGTTTAGGATCGGATACTGATCGAAATTTGTATTATTCGTTAGATGGAAAACAACGCCGATCATAAAACTTGTGTTTCCACCAAAACTTACAGTAAGCGGATAATACTTTTGTTACAACTAAACAAAAACGACTGAATAAATTTTTTTCAAAATACGAAATTCAATCCAGAAAGTAACACATAAAGCAAAAATATCTAAATGATAAGTCAGTACAAACTTTATAGGCAAATATAACAGTTGCGAGAAATCCGATTAACAGAACTGCCTATTTTAACATGGAGAAAAGTAGCAAACGGGTTGAGCCATATTTACACAGACAGAGCAAACAAATACTTCAAAGATATGATATAAAATTATACTTCAGAACCAACGTTATTGTTAATTCTACATAAGTGAGAGTATAGCAACTCTCCTACGGTCAGTTTTGTTTGTGGGTAATTTTGTTGAGCCCTTTAACTAACTTATTTGATAGACAACGTTATTCTAACAGTAACAATTCGTCTATCTCCTTGTTTTATTATGATCATGTCTGTATAAACGTGTACGCTTGATCACATAGCAGACTCTAGCTAAAGTGTTGATAGTTTGAATACCTCTCGATGATTCATCCTCTTCCCCATGTATACATGTACTCGAATCCTATAATTAGCCTTTGCCTTGCCTAGCTGTGCCTAATTTGATTTCACTATAAATTTGCCTATGTATTGTCTCGCAAACATATACTAACCTCTATGCTTCAAATTCGCTCGATGTGCTCATAACTTTGTCAATTGTGCTATCCGTTAATAAACTGTGGTCACCGCTACTTATTGCCTTCTAATTTCAAACACCGTTGGGGATTTATATGCTAACAGTTATCAAAATGATTGATTAACGAAGCTAAGTTACTACGATAGTTAAGAATATGGTATCATGGGAAGAGAAAGACATTATGCATATGAAATAAAGTATACCGTAATGTTTTACATGTAGGAGGGACACTCAAACAACTGGATGTAATGACGAAAGAAAACAATGTTTGAAACATTCCTATATGCTCATAAAACCTCAGCAAACTTAAGAATAGATTTAACAAAAGTTGGACAGAAAATTGTTTCAGTGAAATGAAAGTGCTTTGGAAAAAGTTTCCAAGTTTTAACAAGAAAGGCTGCTAGTCAAGGTCCTATCATATGAACGAACTCAAACATTTTAAATAGAAGAGATGAAGTGCAACTAATTGCAACATGATAATTACTGACCAGTCAATAAAAAAGAGAGGTATAACAGTGTCTTCAATTGCTGCATCAATCTACACCTCAAGCAACGTGAACAGCAACAACATACATTCAACTATCATGACTAGATGCTTTTGACTTCTTTTGAGTAACATGAAAAGACGAATACAATTGTTTATCCTCCGATCAATACATTCTGAGGACAATTTACTACTATCCAGTTTTAAATTCAATTTGAAAGTTTTAATTATTCCTTTGTTGATATTCTGACTGAAATTTAATCATTCTTGGTTTGGAATAAGTGTATCTTGTGCGGATTGCCCCGATATAGTCGTTATGACACAAGTCAATATGAAATAGATAGAATGTAGCTAGGAGTGGAATCCATAATGCGTGATTCGCCTTATTTGGGTCTCATCACCTGGATGTACCTGCATTTCAGAGTTGATATTCACTCCAGGACTTGATGCACAAGACTTCGTACAGGATCCATACATACTAAACCAAGAACGATCAAATTTCAGCCCAAATATTAACAAAGAGATAATCCAAACTATTTCAAATTGAATTAAAACTCATACCCGTTACACAAATGATTGGCTATCTGTAATGACCTTTGAAGCGAATGGTAGTGAGTTTAAATCTCACAGTAAACATCAACTCCGGGGTGCAGGTAAATCCAGTTGACAAGTCCTGAAGAGGATGGAACGTACTTTTTGAATTCTACTACTAGCCACATTCCACTTATTCTATATTATCTAATTTTAGTTCTATAGACGATGAGGATAACTAATATCACTTTGTTCATAGTTGAGGGCTACAGTTAACTAATGCATTTAGATAAGAATAGTATATACTTATATACATAGCGTCATATGATGAAATTAGAACAAATTTAGCATCTAATGACTCACATACACGCTATAAACTACTAAATTCAGAGTGTGAATATTGAATAAATAATTGTTTATTAAGATTTGTTTTGACCGTACTTATATTAAATAATTTATTGATTATTTCGAAATATTATGCTCGAAATAAGCTGACGGGTGAAATGTTGCAATTACTTTATTTCGATCGCTGAGATTTTCATAGATATAACCTGATAATAAAACTTATTTTGCTGCTATTATTATTATTATTATTATTATTATTATTATTATTATTATTTAAGTATTACCATTTTGATAATCGGGAAACACAAAGACGAATTTTATCAGAATTATGTGATATATTTGCGTAATACATTTCAAACAATTTGATCACACTTCTATACTTGTTAAAACATTTTTATATGAAAATTAAAAGGTCAGCTAAACAGGTTAGAGATAAGCCATGATAAAGAAAAGAAAATATTAAAGTACACAAAAACAATATGATTACCACTCTGGATAGGGTAGGTTGTTTTTGAATACACAAATTATGTAAATACTTATTACCAGTAATTTCTCATTGAGCTTAAGATTATAAATATTTAATAAGATTAGTTTAACGGTTACGGTTAGTAGAATGTGAGGATAATAATGGTGACAATATAAAATAACAAAGTCTTGCAAGCATGAGAGAATCCATAGAATCTATGAGATTGTAAAAGTGGATGGTTAAAGATGATATGTATCGAGATTGATGATTGAGGACTTTAAAATCCTTCTTCTAAAGAAAATCATAATATTTTAGAAATGGTTAACAAGTTTTATTTCTAGCTTCTCTAAGCTAATTGGATTTTATTTTCCTTGGTTGATTCAGTGTTTTTCTTTCTATAATAAATGTACGGTAACCTGAGTTATCAAACTAATGTACCAGCTTTTAAATAAGATGATTTCAGTATTTTATGTTCTTGTACTTAACCATTGTAATATTATTTTATGTAAATGGAAATTTTTTCAAGTAATTGACGAAAAACGATAGAGTTTATACTTTAAATTAAAATTTATCACATTTATTTTGTGTAATATTTGAAATTTATCATGAATTTAGGTATGGTAATGATGTGAAACGAAATGTTTTATTCTGCTGAAGTATCTATTGGGAATATGTTCGAATAGGTAGAATATTAAAAGGTTAAATATTCACAGAACGTACCCAATGACATACTAGTGCATAGAGTCAAATATGACGCTTTTTTTACACCAGCATACTTGGAGGCTTGATCTTTACACGCATACATTATATAAGCAGACAGGGTTAAAGGGATAATTGAGCCGACTGCACGACAACTAGGGCAGCTATCATCGATTGTAGTTAACTTTCTCAAATCGTCTATAACGCCACCTTCAACTGTTGATTCGCTCATGATTCTGTAGTAAAAAAACGAACAAAAAAATGCAGGAGAAATTTAAATGAGAATAAATACAAGTGATTCAATTTTGATATAGTCCATTCTGGTGAAAATATTCGAATGATAGAAATTCTACGAGCTCAAAAGTTCTCTCCAACAATTAGGTCACTACCTACTTAAATATATTTTTAAAAAAACACTAGAAACGTGATAGCTATTGTCGATTTCGCGCATAAGATCTTTTATCTTAAAATATACGCTAATACCGATTTATGTTATATAAAGGCACATTCTAATGTAAGGAATGTTTTTCATCAAATTGAACGTTTATCCATAGGACGGTTAAAATATCTTCAAAAGCAGTTTAGGCTGCGAAGAAAAATATTTCATTTAGAATTTAAATATTACGAAAAAAATAATCCTATTTCGTACACTTTAATGAGTAACCAAACAATTTTAAAAGTCAACACATTTCGAAATTTTTATGCAGAATAATTGTGTGAGTTGTAATTTGCTAAAATGTCGGTTTCATTATCTGATGATCAGAAGTAATCAAGTTCTCATGATACGTCCAGTTATCTTATTAGACTGGAACAGTTCGTAAATCAGTGATAAAAATACCAACACAATACTACTAATAATAGTAGGTATAGACCGGTTCATGATTTCAATGAAATAATCTCCACAACCCCATACTAAAAATATTAATCTAAATTAATTTGTGACAAAAAGATTCATTCAAATCCATCAGTATATCGGAACTAAACAGAGATTTACGAAATATTTCTTTAATGTTTCGTCAGTAGGTGTGTAGTTAAGCTTACATTAAAAGTAAACTAAAAGTTAGGGAGCACATGTTTCCATTTAACTTTACTGTGACTAGTACACACAATAAGATGTGATTTTGAATTATGAATACAATACTGAGTCAATTAATTGCAACATTAGATAAATAAATCAGTTTGTTTTTTAATGAAACGTTCTTATCTCAATCATATGATTCTGCATGTTGATGAGTTTCCACATACGAACACGTTGTTTTGACAGATTTTTTAAGTTTATTAATGTCACGTTATTATTATTATCAGTACTATTATGAACAAGGGAACTGAAACTGAAATGATGTTGATGATTGCAAATCGAATGAGGCGGTTGGAAGTCCTAGTACGAGTGAAATTCAGTGGATCTGATCTCGCGCCTCTCCATCTAGCAGGGTAAATAAATTAATTAATTTCCAATTTTTTGTCAAACATGGTATATTTCGAAAGAGGATATATTTAAGCTATTAACGGAAAGTTAGATAAATGCCTAGAATACACACAAAAGGCAATTTGTCTTGAATACAATTGTTATTACATTACATAGGTAGTCAAAGTGTAAAATACTAAAAATCTAAGATGTCATAAGATTCTGATATCTCCCAGAACCAGACAAGTTAGCTATAAACCCGCCCAGGTGAGAAAGATACTTAAGAACTGTTTGGGTCAGAGCTGGGAAAAGTATAGCTAGTCAGGATTTTATATAACGAATGAAATCAATAAGAGCTAAGATAAAAAAGCGAACAGGACTAAAGTTATTTGAAATTTTAAAGAAACACTAATTGATATCAACATTTTAGGAAACGTTTTACTAAATGTGTTAGATATTAGTTCAAGTTTATCAATATTAGGTGGATTATAATTATTTTAGTAAATTATATCCTTGGTTAAGGTGTATCATAACTTTTTGGACATATCAAAGTTCTTGGGCCATATTTCAACTTTCTGACTGCTTCATTTTCTTTTGATATTTAGGAAGCTAATTATGACGTTTACATGAAACCACTGGACCTGAAATCTAACAAAAGCCCAAATGGACTCTGCAAACCAGGTGTTAAGTGAACTCGATTATTCTTTGACATAGGATATCTATCACAATCTGAAATATTTTGTATAAAAGTTCGCTTTTTGGCGACTAATTATTTACTAAATAGTTTAATTAAAATATCTGAAACCTAAGGTCTAAACTAAAGATAGATATCCGGTACAATAAAGTTACCAGAAACCTACAAAATACACCTTGTTAACATTCTTACTTCATAAGACTACACTGTTTGTTTTAAATTGACCACTCTCTCAAACAATGTGAATGAACTATATTGTAATACCTGTATCCTATAGCTCACTAGTGATAACTATTGAACCTTTTACTAAATCAAAACAAACAACAGAGTGAATTAATCCAGTGGTTATAAAATGTAATATATTCCCTGTTATAAATAAAAAATTATATATATAACAATCTACCCGATGCTCAATTTATTTGAAATATCAAACCAAACCTTAGTAATGAAACCTAGATTCCCTGTTAGTTTATCTATACTCTTTTATTATTCTTACCCTATGAGGCGATTTAGCAGGAGTTAGAGTACAGATGTAAAGGTTAGAAAATTCAAGAAATCAATTAAACATTGATCTGAAATAACAATAGCAACATAATAATTGTAATGAAAAATCAGAAGAGAAAGTGTGATTTATAAATCATGTAATAATTACATGAAGTAGGTTATATAATTAGATCTTTATATACACATTAATTATATGAAATCAACAAAACAACGTAATAACATTAAAAAATGACAGTAGTATTTATAACGAATTTTTTCAACCAATAAAGATGATCAATAACAAGCCAAATCAGTAATTTTAATTTATTTGGTATGTAGATTCATTCAAGAATAAATACTTATCTTTGTTTCGTATAAATCATGATAGAATTGTTAAACAATGAAAACAAAACCAAACAAAAAAACAAACATCATAGAATTGGGATTCTATAGAAACTATTTTATATTAAATAGAAAGGTAAAATGAGTTTGAAAAACAAAACAATTGTCACAAATCTTTTCAACATATAATATGCTGAACAATCAAAACATATAAATGAGAAAAATTACAACAATATGCATAGTTAAAAACTAATCATTAGAATTGACTATTCGTTATATATATTTCAACAATAAAATTATGTATAAGAATGAATGTTTGGATAATGAATAACCAATTATCAATAAGTTCCATTTATTAAGCTATAAAATGTGAATTAGAAGAAACAATGTAATTATCGCACAGAGTAGTAGTAGTAGTATTAGATTTTTGCAACTGATGAGGAATCATAATGTTGATGATGTTTATGAGAAAAAGAAACAATAAAAGAATGACCTTAACATCTGCATCTGTCTTGATTTTCTTGTTCTTCAGTTCCCAAACGAATACTATCAGGATAGTCAGAGTGTAGATTTGTCTATAAAGAAAAAAATCACATCAATATTAAAAGTTAATAAAAATATAGCGTTTTAGTGAACATAAACGTTGAAACAAAGCAAAAATGCGGTTTTGATTTGAATGTATCAAATGTTTTGTCATAGATCTAAAAGAATCAAATAAACTACAATAATGTTTTATTCACTGATTTTTGTCAGATAACTTTTGTTGACAATACATCTATACTACATAGTGCTAAAATAAGTTTCTATAACAATACTGAAGGAAATGACAATTCAGATTTTGATTAAACTGGTTGAATAGCACATATTAACAACTTATTACAAATATATAGTGCAGATACGATTGAATTGTACAGAAAAAAGAATTTAAGCGATTTTAATTATCTTGAATAAGATGATAACACGTTACATGTACTTTATGGCTTCTGAAATAAATAAAATCAATTCCCAAGTAAATTGTCCCTTACATGAACTGGACTACAATGTATATATCCACAAGGATGATAATAAAATTAGTAGTAGAAATAGCCAATGTTTATGAGTATCAATATTAAATTTCGTTAAAAACTAGACTTGGTGGCTTCATATATTAGATTATCAACATATAATATAACTACTGGACAGTGATAGAACTGGAAGAAAAAGTTCTTCTTGAGATATGCACATACATTTTGAAAGAGATGTCTACGTTCGAATGTACTTATTAAAAATTTAGCTGGAAGACCTGTTTAACCTATATTTGGAGTAGAAAGCGTTAAGTATGTTGAGATTTCATTAGCCCCAAAACCTTAGTATTAATGAAACTTATGCAATAATTGAAATGCCTAAAAAGCTCAGCTACTTTAGGTATTGATGTAGACCAGTAATTGAAGCAGCGTTCCGTATTTACAGGGAAGGAAATGTTTTCTGAATGCATTTAGTCGACCATCGTCTCCTGTTGGGAGATGAATTAATGAAGTTAGATAGGAAATTATTATCTCTAAAAGTATGTGCATAACAGAACTAAGCAAAAGTGAAGAGTATGGGCAGTCCAGTTAAATTTCGCCTGATATAATTGGTTCAGAACAATTTGGTGTTCTTAAACTGACCAATAGTACTCAATTACAACATCACTACACATTTTTTGCTGCGCGTTTCGATTACCGTCAGTCAGAATCGAATGCATTCTTAGGTAAAAGAATACGACTACGGCCAGGTATCGGTAAGTATGCCTACAATTCAAAACCGATCAATTAGGGCATATTTGACGCTAAATTTAGTGGTCATGATTTAAACCCATTTCCTCATCTTAGGTTTGTTGTTATTAAGTTCTAGTAAGGTGTAGGGTTACTACAGAAGCTAATATTTAATAAATTATGGTGATGGGTTAGATAGCAGGGAAGTTATGTAACCTAATAAAAAAAGATTGGTCAGTGGTCAAATGCCCAAGTATATGTGGGACAGTTTGTTTCACAGTGCGAATTAAAAAGGGAGTCTAAATTAGTGATTAAATATATAATTAACAGTTATTAATCAGTTGCATTAACACAAATGGGTTTATTCTACATTTAACAGATAGTGGGATATTTCTACTTTCCTAAGGGAGTTTATTTATCTTACTCGGTTTCCTTCTTGATTTCTTGTGACATGGTAGTTTGAAATGCAATCAACTTAGTCGATACATTATATCACATCTCAGTTTGACGTTTTAGATAATCTGTCAGATTAATGGCAAGTGCGACTGAAATAGTTGGTGATACAAAATCCAAACCTTTTTAAGAAATGGATACGACAAATGTATCGAACTTTTCTTTTCTTTTCCTTGAACTTTACCGAGTGATAAAGTAAAAAGTCAGCCGATAACAGCACCGCAATTTTGTGACAACAAACATAGAACAACCGATTTGGTCTCATTAATAAGATGCACAAGTAATAACTTTTTAAAAGTGGAACACATTTGTATTAACCGTTAACTAGCAACTATGTACCTATGTGCATGATCACGAAAATGAGCTAATGACACAGTAAACTGAGAATAAATTCCCTTTTGATACGAAATAGTTGGATTAGGTTCAAAAAAGTATGGAGAAACTGTCAAGGGTTTTTTAAAATATTTAAGACAACAGAAGTAGGATACAGTGAAGCCTAAGCTACTATTTATAAAAATTATTGGTTTAAAACGTTCACAGGTTGTACAGAATTTAAAAAAACTATGATTAAAGTCGCTTGGTACAGTAAAGATAACGTTCAATGTGTAATTTTTAAGGGTGAATTTTCTCTTAAGACGTTTCCCATCAAAGCACCATAGAACACGTGTCTGACACTGCAGATTCACTCGGTTGGCGAATATCAACCAACTTTATACACTTTTTTTAACAAACTCATTATGTTTCCATAGTTTTAGGTTGATCGATCAGTCACACAGCATTCCTTGTTCAATAAAATAACATCAGCACTATGGACCGAAGGCGCTGATACATGGTCACTGATTTGGCTTATCTCAAGACTTACAAACTGAAGGAAACAAATAATAAAGTAAATACATTGGCAGACATTCTAATGTAGGCGACCAAAACTAGAAGAGTCTTTAAAAGTTAACTAAATTCAATAATCTGCACAACTATTAGCATACAAATCAATAGCACGAGTTACATATGACATATACGCACGTAAAATATTGGTTAAAAAACCCAATACTGTTTTGATAATAAAAATATATAGTGTACGTCTAGCCCAGTTGAATCTTTAAAAATAAAAACTCCATTTGTGGAATACTTAAAATATGTGATTCAATAATAAATGGTGCTTAAACTAATAAATATTCAACCGAATAACAAAAATTTAATCATAACTGACTGGTGATGGATAGATATGATTTAATCAATAATTGTAACTTAAATGACATAAACACAAGCTAGTTTAGCTCGTTATTGCTAAACGTGACTGATGTATGGATTGATGTGATTAAGAGATCAAATATGTTTTTTTTAAACCATACCGCAACTGGAATCCGAAAATTGATCATCTTAAATTCTTACTTAATTTAAAACATGTAACTAAGTTGCGAAACATGAAAGCGAATAGTTCATAATATTGATTTACTAAACTCATACACAAAACTTGCCTTTACAGAGATTAGTTTCTTTCATAGAAAAAATAAGCTTAAAATATTGATTTTCAGTTAGTATTTTCTATAATATATGCAATTTGGTATTATTCACATAAAATATTCCAAAGTTTATAGTATTCAAAAGACCAACAATTTCATGTGATCGAAATTAGTAATATCAGACTAAATGGAGTATATCGACACGTATATATAGGGTTTAGGTTAGGCTGCCGAACTTGGATAACTTGTGGACACGGTAAGATATGTAGCTACTCCTTATACAAAACTGATAATAATTATATTGGAAAGTTACATATTAGTCCAAAGCTGAAACGGCTGATGCGAATTTACCACGTGGCGTTAGCACACGATTAACAGTCATAAATCACAATGTTTTCGTTTTTCAACTCAAGAGTACATTCCTACTAATTTTGTAACTTCAGGTGGAAATTCCAAACACTGGATATTTATTTAATAGAGTCGACATACAGAAGAGTAAAAAGCTTTACACATGTCAGATAAAAACAATGCACTAGTAAATAGGCCATAGCTGACAATAATCTAAATGAACAATGTTGTTTAACAAGACAAAATAGTTATCAATTAATCTTACGATAAAAAGGGAAAACTCACCGCAGACTCTTCGTCTATGGCGACTCTTATAATATGAGCAAAAGCTTTCTCAACATTTGTATTTTCTTTAGCACTACATTCAAAATATGGAAGATTACCATTTGCCTGACACCATTGTTTTGCACGATTTTCAGATACCTACATAAAATGAGAAAAACGTACACTTACCAATTAAGATACGAAACATGTCTAAAATTGTGCAGCAACTATTTTTTGAGAGGAGAACAATGATATTAGATATCTTATCAAGTGAGACAAAAGTCATAGAGAGTGAGTTACCCGTGAGGAAAAATTTACATCAATCAACCAGTTTATCATAAAAATCCAACCATAAAATGTAACTGAAGTGACCTCTGGAAGATTTTGTTAAAACGGGAAGTTTGTAAAGACAAATTCGGTTGTGAATGTTAAGCAGTGCAAACTAAGTTAAAGTAGTTCAACATTAGAAGGATGATAATCCTCATTCGGCCTACCTAAATTTCTATTATTGCGTAATAATAAGCATACATCGATAGAGTTCCTCATAGCAATGAATCACAACCGAAAGGTGTTGCATAAGACGACTAAATAGTTGATGAATAATTAATTTAATAAAAATAAAGAGAGCTTGTATATTTCTAAAGCCGATTAAGTATGCAAAAAGCTACACTCCATATTCTTTAAAAGTTAACTTTCCTAAAAGAAGTAAAAATGGGCATTATTTTCTCGAAAACAAACGAATAATCTGAAAAAAGCTGGGATAAAAATACGTCAATCTTTGAATAGAAAAATCAAATTTTGATGACTAGATTAACAGCGGTATAAAATCGAATTAACGTTCAGTGTTTTCACACATTTCATTTGCCACTTACAACTAACTACATTTTTAAACCGAAGAGATTATTACTGAGTTACTATAAAATCGACCATCCCTTCTAATGGTGTAAATTTTCCAGTTATTTTCAAATTTACTGACGCAGGTGGTTTATTCAGTTTAGCTGATGTGAGCATGAAAGTGATAAAACGCAAACTCGACAGACAGAATAAGAACTTATGTGATGCTAATATGCTGGATGTAATATTTTATCAATACGTCGATGCTTGGTAATCATTTCTGTTTGTAACTCACTGACACTTGGATTCCTAAGATTGTTAAAGATAAATTTACCACAGATACTATATCTTATCAATAAAAAAGCTCTTACACAGCTGACTCGAATGAGCAGTATTTAAGTGCATGATTTTACATGGAATACTAAAATTTTCGAAATTAGTCCACTGACAAGAAATCCCATATGAAATAATGGTAATATCTGAATGAAGAAAAGGCGAGACTCTAATTTAGGGACGAGCCAATCAGAAGCTGTTATAACTCTGTCTTTTCTTACGGTTATGACCCAGCTATTCCTATTGCTTAGTGATCTTGGACACCGATTCACTCGACAAGTCCCCAAATCAGAACACGGTTGAACAGGAAAGAGATTATATTCCAAATAGCAAGTCAGAAGCCAGTAGGAAGCACAATAGGGGAAAAAGTCGGTATATTTATAGTTTTTACATAAGAAGATTCCAGAGTATTCTCCGACTATCGACTAGTGCTGATTGGATAAGAATCAGCCAATCAGCGTGCACCAAAACAATCATGCATTGAGCATGCTTTAATCCAGCCTATGTCCCGCTAACAGAAGCGTTTGAGCAATTTCAAGGTCACGGAGCCAAGTTCAACACGCGATGCTAACATACGATCGGTTCACAGCGGATTTTAGAGAGTAGGTGATTAATGAGATGTTACAGCAGATGGGACGGCGAGACTCTAATTTAGGGACGAGCCAATCAGAAGCGTTTGAGCAATTTCAATTATTAGCCAATCAGAAGACAGCATAAAGTAGAAATATATTAAAAGAAAGTAATGAATTACAGTGGATATTCTTCTTTTACATGATTTAAAAACTCGTATGTTAGCATCCTAACCCCAACCTTAACCCTAAACTCTAACCCTCACTTAACCCAAACCCTAAACCTTAACACTCAACTAACCCTAACCCTAAGCGTATGTTACCACCCTAATCCTAACCCTAAACCCTAACCTAACCTTAACCTTAACCCTAACCTTACCCGTAAACCTAACCATAACACTAACCCTATGGACGAGTTTCTATTCCATATGCATTGTGAATCCAGAACCTCTGAACCTTAATCAAACCTTAACAAGTTTTTAAATCATGTAAAAGAAGAATATCCACTGTAACTCATTACTTTCATATAATATATTTTCACTTTATACTAACTTTTTTCTGATTGGCTAATAATTGTCAGAATCACTTAAGATTCGTTCAAAGGTCGTCCCTAAATTAGAGTCTCGCCGAAGAAAATATTTAGCGAACCACCCTCGAATAGATAAGACAATCATAACTCAATACTTAATAGCAAAAATTTGAATCAGAAAAACGAAATTACAAATTCCAGACCACAAAAATGTAAACATGCCATTATAATTCCATCAAAACGTGAGCTCAATAATCTCACGCCGAAGTACAATTAGTTCCCACTATTTTGCGCAACAAAATTCGTTATTTTTTAGCAAAACATTAGGAAAAAGTCACCTTTTTAATATCGATCTAAGCTTAACATAAATATAGAGAATGATTATTGACAGTGATTTCAGTACCTCAATCAAATAACTTTTCTAGATAGGTGAGAACGTCATGGAATTCGAAGTATATATATATGGATAATGAAAACAGATTAGATACACCAAAACATCATCTTGTGGTAGATTTACACTAGGAATGGCGAAATATTTTATCAAAGGTCATGAGGACATGTGAGGTTATGTAATGACTCTACTAGCTTCAAATGCAAATACACAGTAACAAAAGTTAACAAAACACTTACAGCTCTATTATCTAAATCACATTTATTCCCAATAACAATAAATGGAAACTTTTCGGGATTACGAGGGCTTGATTGCACCAAAAATTCATCTCTCCACGAATCTAATGTTTTAAAGGTACTTGTCATAGTAACATCATAGACGAGGACGCAACAATCAGCACCACGATAAAACGCAACTCCGAGAGACTGGAACCTTTCCTGGCCAGCAGTATCCCAAATCTGCATTGTTACAAGACGGTCATCAAAAACCTCTTGTTTTGTAAAAAAGTCTGCACCGATTGTAGCTTTGTACTGATTACTGAACTTCTTATCGATGTATTGGGTTATCAAAGACGTTTTCCCAACACTCGCACACTAAACACTAATGTTCAAAATGAAACATACCCACTATCTCCGATTACAATAATCTTCAATGATATTTTCTTCTTGATGACCATAACCTATATCTAGGAACATAACAGAAAAGAGTTGTATAAAATATCTGGTTATCACCATTAATTAGTACGATTATCTGACTAAAATCTATATGGAGCGGCCCGGACATTTTCTTGTGTATTATTTAAAATTTAATGTTTCAGTACAGAGACGGAATTATATGCAAAAAAAAGATTTCATTGAAAAGACAAATGACTTGAAACCACTTTGAATGATTAACGATCATACTAAACAAAGCATGACAATATGTTGATGAAAATCCATTTATAAACGGTTTAGATGAATAGCCAGGAGTACGGGGATATCTTAAGAGTGTAGTTGATACATCCTCTACTAAAAATAAATCTCGATTCCCGAAAATTTGGTCTTTATATACCTTCGAGGCTGACAGGTGGTCTTCCATGAAACTCATGTGATTCAGTTTGAGTACCGAGTCACTGTTATATCTCATACATTCATAACAACAAAAATAATGAATAAAATGAAAGTTCACTTACTGGACACTCCCTTAATCTAATAACCACATACTTCACCTAATGCGTTCTGTCACGCTAAACTGGCTTGAAGTCGTTAAACCCTGTCACCGGATAAGAAATTTAAGGCGATTAGTAAAAAACCATAGCTTATGTGACTGCATGGCTGGGTAACACGGGATCGGATCTGCCAGTAGCGTAAGTTACCTTAAATTTACATGTACACCTTGTTAACGAGTGCCCAATGGCATAAAACCTAGGTTTAGGGTTTTCTGTCGACTGCCTCTAGCAACTATCTTGCAACTATACCCTCCGTTTAAAAATAAAACGACTCGAGCAGAAAAATATGTTACTCTGAGTTTTCTAAAACCGGGTGACAGTCAACATGCTGTGCTCAGTGTTTGAACCATATGTGCAGCCAAACAACAGGGATCATGGGTTGAAACTATATAATCCAATGCATTTACGCTGTATTTTAAATTTGTATATAAATCCAGGTATGGCTATTTATTTGATCTCACCTCAGAAACTGAGATTAGCTATTCACATACCTGAAGACCTACAGCAACCCGTAGAACATCAGATGTATGTATAACAACGAGTTCAACAGCGAAACGGAAACTCGTTGACTCAATTCCAGGGGTAAAGTTGTTAGCGTGCTGTCCTATTGGGTTAACTGACAAAACATTAGTGTAAGAATAAACATCATAGTTTGGTCATAATCTCCAATTACATCCTCATTTGTTACACTTTAGATGAAAGAAAAGAGAATTCTGCCAAAAGTTTTCTCGCTTTTTGAGTGTTAGCAAATCGTCTAATTGAGCACACGACAAAAATACCTAATATTGGATTTCTATCTGTGGATCAGGTCCAGAGAAGTCAGATGCGAACTGCATTTCGTCACCACTTACTACGGATATCCAGGTCCCAAAAGTGACTAGATAAATGCCGTAACTTATTTGACTTAAAACAAGTACATCTAGGCTTAATGTTTGAATAACGTACATAAACAGGAAAGTCATGAGTTTAGATACGGTTAGATTGTACCTCCAGATGCAGTCAGTCAGTCAGCTACAACGTAGGACCAGGCACATATATGCATCGTTCCAGGTTGCCATACCTCATTAACACAACAAGATGAACACCAAATTCATAGAAGCAGTTAACTCAGTGGTGGTAATATACAAAACAAAGATTGCATATAAGGACATAGTACAGGAAGAAAGAATTAATTCGTAGAAAGAAAGATATGAAGCGATTTTAATCTCATAGTTTAAAGGAAGACAAAGAGTGTATACACCTACGCCATTGTGACCGATTCTGAGCCATATCACCAATAGTCTTTAACCATTGGTTACGATAGTTTCGCGGACCCCAGCAAAGTAGTCGGCATCTCCCAACATGGCTCAGACTAGAAGTTAGTGACTTCAAGCACTGATGCCACGTTTTGGTTTGGCCGCCCCTAACCTTCTTCCAACCATCCCCAACACCGGTTAGCATTGCACGTCGTGGTAATCGGTATTCGGGCATACGTAACACGTGACCCAACCATCTCAGTCGATGGAGATTCACAATTTCATCAACTGATTTACCATCATTCCCTAATACCCTGCGTCTAACCTCACTATTACTTACCCGGTGATCCCAGCAGACGCCAGCAATATTTCTAAGGCATCTGTGGTCAAATACTAGTAGCTTACGAGTGTCCTCTACTCTTAATGGTCATGTTTCGCAGCCGTAAATTAAAACAGAACGGACTGCCGCGCAGAATACTCGTCCTTTTATTGATAGACGGATATCTCGCCTTCGCCATAGGTGACGTAAGTTGGCAAAAGCCAAGCGAGCTTTTCGAACCCGTGCTGAGATTTCGTCCGATACCAACCCATTAGGGCTGATCAGACTTCCAAGATAAGTGAAGTTTTCAACGTGTTCGACTACTTTACTCCCTATCCTTAGTTCAGGTGTTGATGCAGACCAGTCCTGAAGCAAAAACTTGCATATAGAGGGAGAAAAGCGCATTCCAAACATTCTGGCATTGTTGCTTAGTGCTACCAGAAGACTCCGCATTCTATCAGCGTCTTCACTAAACAGGACTATGTCATCTGCGTATTCTAAGTCGATAAGTGGACCTACTGGTAGGAGATCAATACCCGAGAACTCAGTCGACGAGATTATTTCCATCAGTAGATCTATGATGAAGTTAAACAAAAATGGAGAAAGTGGACAGCCTTGACGGACACCACTTGAGGTTGCAAAAGTAGATGACAGTTCGCCATAAGCCCTGACTCGACTAGTAGTGTTCGAGTAAAGAGCCTTTACAAGGTTTATGTACTTCTGTGGTACGCCTTTCAATGACAGATACTGCCACAGAATGTCGCGGTCTACAGAGTCAAATGCTGCTTTCAAGTCAAGAAAGACCACCATTGTCGGACGCCGGTAAACATGCCTATGTTCTAGAACCTGACAAATGATATGTGGTCGAAGCAGCCACGACCAGGTCTGAAGCCAGCTTGGTTCTCTCGTGTTTGCAGTTCACGAGTCTTAGTTAGGCGTCTGATAATTATCGAGGCTAGTATTTTAGTAACTATACTTGTTAAACTAATCCATCTGTGGTTGTCACAGGATGATTTTGACCCTTTCTTATATATTGGGACGATAAGTGGTTGCGACCAGTCAGATGGAATAACGTCTAACTCCCAGATCTTAGCTAAAATATTAGTCAACCTAATCGCTAAAATTGGACCACCATACTTAAAGACTTCTGGAGCCAATCCATCTGCCTTTCCTCGTTTCAGATTAACTATAGCCTTATCAACTTCAGCAAGAGTTGGGGGTCCTACTTCAATGCTTCATTCACATTGTCTGGGAATGGAGGGTAGTTGTAGAGTAGCTGAACGCCAGTTGAACTGTTCACTGAAATGTTCCGCCCATCGTTCTAAACGTCTGGACTGGGAGCAGATGAGAGTATCGTCTTTTTCCGAAATAATCTCACTTACACTTGACTTATTGATCCCAGTTTCTTTTATTAGTCTGTAGAGCTCTTTTGTGTTCCCTATAGCCGCCGCCTTTTCCATCTCTTTTCCTTTCGTCACCCACCACCTGAAACTAGTGTTTCAATCATGCAAGACCTGTCTAAGACCACATTAAACCCATTTCAAACAAAATTAAGTGATATGCGTGTTACATCGCAGCCCCACGAACGGTCGAGAGCTGCAGACCTGAAACAAGGTGTCTGGAGACCGTACTTCAAAATTAACCTTACAAAAGCCGTCTTTTAGCGGAAATAAATCACGGTTGAGGAGAAAAGCAAGAACCTTACAATCTAAGTAGGGATTATGACGCCTTGGCAGTTGTAGCTTCTTTACCAAACGTCCCGCCTGCAAGAATTACCTCATTCACCGAAAATGGACAAAGCATACTTCAGTTTCAATTTTGTCCACAAACGGAATTCATGGCTCACCTTTGGACAGATCCCAATGTATTCTTATTAATTTGAAGTGAGTAAGAAAACGCAAAATCTCCACACTCTAAATAGGACTGAATAAAACTACTAAAGATTCGGTGGAATGTCCCACTATCAAACTAACCGAAAATGAGCTTCAATGGTACCAGTGGAAGCTTCGCATGGAAAGTATTTTCGTCACAGTTTATTTCACAGAGCATCGAGATTCCCATATCTTCTCCAACTTGGGAAACTTCTAATGAGGGATTACCTGAATTGTATGTGTAACATGTCACGCTTCTCGAATGGGAAGTTTAGTCCTAACGTGATTTGCATTTATCAAACTTTTGCCATGTTCTTACGCAACAAATGTACCATTTCTGACCGAAAGAATCTATCCTGAGCTATACGTTCGGTAGATTACTTTTTTTGAGTTTCACCATGTTTAATAGTTAACTGTGGTTTTGCCTCAACTTACTATTCGGTTTTTTTGTTCTTCACGTAAAGACTAGTTCAGTTTATCTCACTCGTTTTCATCCGTTTTCATCCATTTTTGTTCGTTTTCAGTGTGCTTTTTAGTCTATTTTTACGGTCTTAGGCTTTTCTAAGCATCTATAACATAGTTTGCTTCAACATAGTCATGAAAAACTTATGCAAACGTCCGGGATGCCGTTTTGCTGTTACAACTGGTATGCAGTGCGACAACTACAAAGGTTGGTTCCACGAAGTGTGCACAGATCTGACGGCAACTGCTTACAACAGACTCAGCAAGTCGGACCTAAAGTGGATAGTGTCACGCGCAGCACGGACGCTGTAGTTTTGCTGAGTAACATCATCGTCCTACTGACAGGTCTGCGCAACAATTTATCAGCGAACTTGGATAACGACAATAAAAAACGGGCAAACAAACAAGACCGCGCAATGAGCACAAGATTAGGGATGTCGACAGGTATACCATCGATGGAGAATCCATAAGCACTAATGATGAAGCTCAGCACCATCATTACGTCGACGGTATTAGACTCTCTAAGTAAACTCGGGTCTCCCAGCTCAGGGTCCCTGAACACAACAGTGGTTCCCAAAAACCCTGTAGGCGATTCGACCCACGTTAGCGGAGCCAAAAAGAACCAGGTGTCACCGCCTAAGCTGAGCATCCCAAGTGTTGTTGTGCGGAAAACAACTGGTGATTTGGTCGCACAGTCTACCCCCAAGAATGTTCGTCCGAACATCAAAGGGCCCAAAATTCAAAAACGTGCCTTGACCTCCAAACAACAAGGTATTAAACATGAACCCATCGGGAAACCTGGTAAATCAACAACAGTTCGTGACGATTCTCTCATAAACATGAATCTCATTGACAATCCTGACCGTCCTCTCAGTCTTTAGGACAAAAATGATAGGATGCTCTGAGGTGAACTGAACAAGAAGCGCAAACTTCCCAGAATAGAGCCTTTGACGGTCACCCGGCTCACTCGAGGAAAGGACTCTAAGCATGTAAATCACCCGAGGCTACTTCGTGTAACACTTAAGAATGCTACCGATGTAGAGGACGTCTTGCTAGCCAGTCACTTGCTGAAATCCGATGGTAACGTAAGAATATTTCCCGACATACCGTACTCTGAGCGCAATATCATACGGAACACCCCTAAAGAATCTCGTGAGAAGTTTTTCCGCGGAAGAAACCTAATTGTGCAAGGTATACCGGAAAATACGGACCCTACTCAATCAAACTCTGACATCAGGGGATGGAAATTCATTAGTCCTTGAGCCTCAAACAAACGTGTAAAGGACAAAGCCTACCACCTCGGCAAACCTCATATAGGTGGGCTACCTGCCCATTCACGTAAGGCTCACACAGACAAACAGGAAGAAGCTCACGCGTTCCAAATTGAAAACATAAACTGCTTATATATGAACGCTGCGAGTCTACCAAACAAATTTAATGAATTACGTGAACTTAGCAACGCTAATAAGGCCCATCTGATAGGAATATCTGAAACCTGTGTATCTTCTAAGTTCTCGGACCAAGAGTTAGCATTACCTGGGATGTCTTTGTTCCGCAACAACAGAAAATCAGGAATTGGGGTGGAGTAGCCCTATACATATGTTCTCGCTTGGAGGTGCATCAAGTTCATAACCTACAGTTTAACAATCTTGAGGAATCCATATGGGGCTCTGTAAGACTGTCCAGTACTTCGAGGTGTCTAATCGGAGTCATTTACAGGAAGCCAACTGCCGACATCGAGTACGATAGTCGTATGCTGGAAGGGCTATCCCGTTCTACTCATCTCGGTTTCACACACATCTTGATTCTAGGGGACTTTAATCTCCCTAAAGTCAACTTCGTGGATCGCACGTATACTGGAGGCGATAACTCGATTGAAGCTCGGTTCTTCAACCTCATCGATGACTTGGGCTTATATGAAAATGTGAGGTCGGCAACTCGTTGGAGAGACAGTCAGACACCATCGCGCTTAGACTGTGTATTCACAAACGAAGAATTTCTAGTTGACAACCTCTCAATCCTGGCTCCCCTGGGAAAAAGCGATCATGCCGTCATAGCCTTCAGTTTTGTCATCAAAACTAAGCTAAGGTATCCCAACAATAATTTGCGTTGGAATTTTAAACGGCTGAATG